AGATGGTTGTATCTGTACTGAACATATGTACAATTTTTTCTTATCATCATTTCCAAACAATACAGTGTAACAACTATTTATGTAGCACTTACACTGTATTAGGTATTATAAGTAATCTAAAGATAAAGCAAACAGGGGGATGTCCGTGGGTCACATACAAATAATACATCATCAGGGACTTGAGCATCTGTGGATTTTGGTATCTAAGGGAGTTTCTGGAACCAATTTCCCATGACACCAAGAAATCACTATATTTGAAAATAGCATTTATTAAAGTCTTCAAGTTGGGAAATATGAGGTAATTTCCAACATGGCTAAGGAAAACCAAAGACCTTCTGGCACCAGGTAGAATATACTTGTGTTTTAAGAGGTGTAGTATCTTTCCAAATGGCTTGTGTAAGGGAAATTTGGGAGAAAGTGAGAGAGTAGAGCTTAATGGCTCTACCTTGCAGAAAGTGTGCAACAGATGGGTAAGTAAAGGCATTCTCTTGAAAGTGGCACCAGTATTGCATATATATATATATATATATATATATATATATATATATATATATATTTTTTTTTTTTTTTTGAGATGAAGTCTCACTCACTGTCACCCAGGCAGAAGAGCTGTAGGATCGTCTTGGCTCACTGAACCTCTGTCTCCCAGGTTCAAGTGATTCTCCTGCCTCAGCCCCCTCAGTAGCTGGAATCACAGGTGTGTGCCACCAAACCTGGCTAATTTTTTATATTTTTAGTAGAGACAGGGTTTCATCATGTTGGCCAGGCTGGTCTTGAACTCCTGACCTCAAGCAATCCACCCGCCTTGGCCTCCCAAAGTGCTGGGATTACAGCCATGAGCCACCACACCTGGCCTAGTATTGCTTTTATCAATTGCATTTCAAGCCTTTGCTCCTCTGACCCAAATGTCCATGTTTTGCATATTTAATTGCTTCAGTCATGTAACATACCAGCATGTCCAGCATTCTCAATCAGATATGTTATTCTTTATGTAAAAAAAACTTGACTTATTATTATTATTATTATTTTTTGAGACAGAGTTTCGCTCTGTTGCTCAGGCTGGAGTGCAGTGATGTGATCTCAGCTCACTGTAACCTCCTCCTCCAGGATTCAAGAGATTCTCCTGCCTCAGCCTCCTGAGTAGCTGGGATTACAGGCACATGCCACCATGCCCAGCTAATTTTTGCATTTTTAGTAGTGACAGGGTTTCACCATGTTGGTCAGGCTGGTCTCTAACTCCTGATCTTGTGATCCACCCATCTCGACCTCCCAAAATGCTGGAATTACAGATGTGACGCACTGCGCCAGGCCAAAAACTTGACTTTAAAATCAAGTCCATCTGTATTTCCATTCTCAATGTAAAGAAGCATTATGATTACTATCTAAGATATTTTTTTGTCTGACACTATGATCAGAATCACATAGACAGAATAGATATTCCTTTCTTTTTTACTTAAGAGACAGGATCTTGCTCTGTCACCCAGGCTAGAGTGCAGTGGTGTAATCACACCTCACAGAAACCTCAAATTCTTGGGCTCAAGTGATCCTCCTACGTCAGCCTGCTGAGCAAATGGGACTACAGGTGCATATCATCATGCTCAGCTAATTTTTAAATTTTTTTGATAGAGACAGGGTCTCTCTATGTTGCCCAGGATGGTCTTGAACTTCTGGCCTCAAACAATCCTCCCACCTTGGCCTCCCAAAGTACCAGGATTATAGGTATGAGCCACCATACCTGGGCCAGGTATTCCATTGTTAATGCTGAATACAAAAAGGGTTTTGTAAATTGTACTAAAAGTCCCAGAAGTCTATCATTTGAAAATATATTCTTCTGAGATAAGAAACAAAAGCTTATAATAATGCTTAAATGTATAAACTATTTTACAATTTTAAAAAGGACTTTAACATCACTTCACTGATCATCATAACATCTCTATAAGAGCAAGTATAATCACTGATATCTACATTTATCAAGTTATTGCTAGATTTAGAACTAGAACCCAGGTCTTTTCATCTTTATCCCAATATTAGTCCCTCTGTAACTCAAAAGGTCTAAAATGGAATGCATTATACAGTAAGTCCTCATTTAACATCATTGATAAGTTCATGCAAACTGTGGCTTTAAGTGAAATGAAATATTACAAAACCAATTTTACCATTGGCTAATTGATGTAAACAAGAGTTAAGGTCCTATGGCATACTGTGTTCTGGTCAAAAACATCAGTAAACTTCTGAATAAAGACCATACATGCTTTAATATTAAACATCAAAATAAACATGAGCTATATATACATTTAATAAAGATTAATCAAAACAAGTAACAAAATTATTTACTTATTTTTTAGTGAATCACTGAGTAATGGAGCTTGAAGTGCTGATTAGTTAAATCAAGGAATAAATGTTTGCAAAGTGAACATTTTAATATTGTTGAGCATTTGTGTGATTCACCATATATTTGAAGAATTTTTATTTTACAATAATTTGTATTCACCCATTCAGAGTTATGGGTGGACAGAGCATATATCCTGGAAGCTCAGGGTATAAGGCAGGACCCAACCCTAGACAGGACACCATCTGATTGCAGGGCACTCTCACACACGCATGCCCATACTCACTCAGCCTGAGATGCAATTTAGCCATGCCAATCAACCTAACATGCATACCTTTAGTATCAAGGAGAAAACCTGTGTACTCACTGAAAACCCATCAAGACATGGGGAGAACGTGAAAACTCCAGAACAGGCAATGGCCCCAGGCAGGGAGTGATTATTTTTTCTCATCAGCTTTATAAAGAATTGACGTTAAACAAAACGATTCAAGAACCTGCTATATTCTATATTAGAAACCACAGAATAATTAGTGACTACTTAGTTTCAAATTGACTTTTTTTGAGTTAGAGTTTCACTTTGTCACCCAGGCTGGGAGTGCAGTGGCACCATCTTGGCTCACTGCAAGCTTCACCTCCCAGGTTCAAGGAACTCTCATGCCTCAGCCTCCTGAGTAGCTGTGGTGGTACGCCGCCACACCGGGCTGATTTTTTTGTGTGTGCGAGGTTTCACCATGTTGCCCAGGCTGGTCTCAGACTCCTGAGCTCAGGCAATGTGCCTGCCTCAACCTCCCAAAGTGCTAGGATTACAGGCGTGAGCCATCGTGCCCAGCGTCTAATTCTTTTCTATGCCAACTCTTCAACATCTCACAGGTCTGTCCTGTCTTCTCTATAATACAGCACTGATTTAAGGTCTCATCTTGCTCTAGGATCACCTAGCCTCCATTCCCTTCCTCTCAACTTCCTGCTGCAATGCTGCCAGAATGATCTTTCTAAAATACAATTCTGATGGTGTCATTCCTATGCTTGAAAACATGTGATGGCTTACTACTGCCAACAGTGGTGGTTCTTAAATTATGCACCTCGGGATTTTTGTCATTCTGAGAATTAGACAAAGGTGTTTAGGGCGGCTAAAATCAAGCATAGTATAATGTCAATAAGGTCCATCACTGGAATGAAAAACAATTAAGAGATAGATATAGCTATATCTTTTCCCCAATATTTTTGTAAATATTTCAGACTTGTTATTGTATATCTATGAAACAGACTTAATAGGTATCAACAAAACAAAACCCAATATTAATTCTGAGTCAACAATGCTTAATTCAACAATTAGTTTTGCTCCTTGAGAAGTAATGAAAAATGTACTCATGATTCTTATTTCATATCATATTCATGTCATGTATTTTTCCAGTTCATATGATAGTTAAATAAATGCTTAAAAAATCTAGAAACTAACAACTTCTATATGCACTGCTTCTTGAATCAATCTGAAAACCACTACATATTACCCTTCAGTGATGCCTTAGGCAACACACGTTACTGCTCTCACAGTTCAATTTATAACCCTCCACTGATACACCTACCCCATTTTATTTTACTTTATTATTAAACATCTGTCTTCTGAATTAGTTAATTCATTGAGGACAGAGTGATATACTAATCACCTTTAAATCACAGCTGCCTCACACATAGTAGGCACTCAATAAAAATGTACTAGAAGAAGAGAGAGTTCAACAACTATATGAGAGAGCAAGACAGCCAACCATTGATTACAGTTATGGAGTTTTATAACTTGAAAACAAAGTCTATAAAATATTTGTTTCCAGTATAATATATAATACATTATAAAGGTAAAAATAAAATCATTCGACAACTATTTTAATTCACGCTTTCTAATATACCGGGCAAGAAAATATGTTAAATGCAACAAAGCTCTATTAAAAACATGTCAATGTTGATTTTTAAGAATTTCCTTTAAAACATGCAATACTCAGAGCCATCAAATTAAATTAAGGATTCAGTCTACTCTACAAAACTGAATTATAATTGTAAACAATTTTTAATTCTATAAACACAAACTGGATAATAAATATTAAATTGCCTTTAAATGCTTTCCATATAAAAAGGCCATATCTAGGTCAATGAACTTGGTTCAGTCTCTACAAATGTTAATGCTTAAACATAAAAGTAAGCAAACAAACAAATATAGTTGAAATCTTTACCTCATTACTGCCAGTAAAATTCTACCAAAAGAAAAGCCTGCTGGCATAATTTTCACAGTTGCACTTTTAACCGTGCTAAGTTTTGCTTTTTTAAATTTTAATGTTAGAAACAGATTCCAAGCTTTATTAAACTTTTTATTATATCCTAATATTTTCAGGTAGTTGTTTTTGTTTGTTTTAATTTTTGAGCCTTCCAGATATTACCTATCAACTTACCTATTATCACTACAGGAATATATTTCATAGGTACAGAGTATAAGCAGTCAGAGACATAATGTATACTAAAGCTTATGGCTTATATTCGTATTAAATATCTTATTTGCCTCAGACTAATTATTGAAGGCCTACGGCCTATGGACCAGTGGTAATGTTTGCTTTAAAAGCTAGCATTTTAAGATGAAATCTGAATAGACCATATGAAAGGAAAAAAAAAAATCTGAACTACTTACGGCCAGCAAGCAGGAACTGATAATACTGTACTGCATCTGCAGCGAGGAGCAGAGGGTGGTTTGCATTAAATGGTGGCTGCAATTCATTCCATTGAGGGGTTCTAAGGAAACAGCAGAAGAATATTAATATTTAAGGTTAATAAATGGGATGTAAATCACCATGACTGTCATCACTGATGAACACTGACTTAAACTCACACTATTTTTGTGATCATTAAAATAAACTTGTAATCATTAAAATGAATGTGCTGAAACCTGAAACACAAGGTCATCTGCTATGAAAAAATAAAAAGGTGGCAGTCTTTCATGCAAATAACATGCAGTCAACATGAACTTAACAGCAGAAGACCCTCCAACAGGATAGGCAAGACATTCAGAAGATTAAACGGGTGTAAAATTCAAATGTTATAACTAAGTAGTTTTAATTTATGTAATTTCTGACCTCTCTATTCTTAAAATATGTATATATTTTAAAATAAAATGAAGTAGGTAAAATGGTTAATAAAACACAGCTGTGTAAAAGCATAACTTATTATAGATCAAATTAGCATCCGAGTTCTGAAATAAGTCACTATTTCAACAATGATAGTGTAGTAATTTTAATTAGATCTGCCCACTCCTAAATAAGCTTGATAAATCAGATATTGATCAGGTCAATCCAGCATAGTAAAGTAGTTGTAAAGAATGCTGGAGCCTCCAAAAATCAATATAAGAATATTTTAAAATGTCAAAAGGACAAGGATCATTTTCACATCCATTTTTGTCTGTTTCCTTCCATACGTGTCAGGAACAATTTTTTCTCTCCTGGATGATGAACTATATTAAAGAGGTTTTATTCCAGGTTTCATTTTTTCCTTTTGGTTATAGCTTATAAAGATTCTAATCATTATGTACTTTTGATATGGACTCTGATTCTTACTAAACATTCCTACAAGGCCTAACCATTGTATCTCAGAGAATCACTTTCAGAGAAACCTTGAAATCTATCTATATTAGTTTCTGTTCCCCTTAATGGCTATCTCAATGTTACTCTCTATTTTCAATGAGCATGAGATTGCAAAGAGCGGAAGTACAAGTCTGAGAAAATTTAACACAAAAGGGCAAGGAGAAAGAAGTTCAAACGGAGGTATTCTCCAAGGTGCATTCAGAAGACAATTAAAAAATATGTCCCCACAAAAATCTGTACATGAATGTTCATAGCAACATTATTTAATAACAGTGTAAAAAGTAGAAATATCCATAAACTAATAAATGGATAAACAAAAGGCAGTATAACCATATAACGGAGTATTATGTAGCCATAAAAAGGAATAAAGTTCTGATATATATGCTACAACATGGATGATCTTGAAAATAAGCTAAGTGAAAGAAGCCAGACACAAAAGGTCACCTATTGTATGATTCCACTTATATGAAATAATCAGAGTAGGAAAATCCATAGAGAAAGTAAACTGGCAGCTGCCTAGGTATGACAGGTTGGAGAAAAATAAGGAGCAACTGTTAATGGGTATGAGGTTTCTTTTTAGGGTGATAAGAATTGATTGCAGTGGTAAGTGCACAACTTTGTGAAAAGTCACTTTTAATAGGTTAATTTTCTTGTATGTAAATTATGTCAAATGAAAAAGTAATGAAGGGCTAGGTGCTCAGGCCTATAATCCCAACACTTTGGGAGGCAGAGGAGGGTGGATCACCAGAGGTCAGGAGTTCGAGACCAGCCTTGCCAACACGGTGAAACCCCATCTCTACTAAAAATTAGCCAGGTGTGATGGCAGGCGCCTGTGGTCCCAGCTACTCAGGAGGCTGAGGCAGGAGAATCACTTGAACCCAGGAGATGGAGACTGCAGTGAGGCGAGATTGGACCACTGCACTCCAGCCTGAGTGACAGAGTGAGATTCTGTCTAAAAAAAAAAAAAAAAAAAGTAATGATGTATTGCTTGTTTTGCTAGATGAAAGTGAGATTTAAAAAATTACATACTGTATGATTCCATTTATATAAAATTCTAGAAACTGTAAACTAATCTGTAGAGACAAAGAGGGGCAAAAGAAGAAGAGATTACAAAGGGCCACAAAGAAACATTTGGGAGTGATGAATATGTTTACCATGTTAGTTGTGGTGATGATTTTGCAGCTGTATGCATGTTAAAACTTATCAAACTAGACACTTTTAATCTTATATACCTTAACGAAGCTGTTAAAAAGAAAAAAAGAAAGGAGGTACTACCTAACCAGAGTCCAGCTGGCTCGAGGTGATGTCATCATTTCCAGGGGAGTGTCATCACTAATCTTGGGGGCAGTGCTGAGGGGTCGTGGCTCCATCATGTGCTCCACTAAGGTGCCGTAGCAACTGATAATGTACAGGGACTCAACTACAACTTGTTTGGACTGATCTACAAACAGAGAAACAGAACCCGACGTGTCATGATGGCATAAAAGGAGCACAGAATAATTTTTACAAGTTAATGACCTTAATAGCTCCTTCTTGAGGCTGCTCAGAGAAAATAAAAAGACAGGAATTTTTTATTTTTTCTAACTATTCTTTTTTCTTTTTCTTTTTGAGATGGAGTTTCACTCTTGTTGCCCAGGCTGGAGTAGAGTGACACGATCTCGGCTCACTGCAACCTCTGCCTCCCAGGTTCAAGTGATTCTCCCGCCTCAGCCTCCCAAGTAGCTGGGGTTACAGGCACCCGCTACCATGCCCAGCTAATTTTAGTATTTTTAGTAGAGATGGGGTTTCGACATGTTGGTCAGGCTGGTCTCAAACTCCTCACCTCATGTGATCCACCCACCTTGGCCTCCCAAAGTGCTGGGATTACAGGCATGAGCCACCGCACCCGGCCGAAAGGAATTTTTCCATATGGTGCTTGTTCCTTGCCTAAAGGTTGCCTCGTGTAAGTATATGCTAGACATTTTCACATATGAAAATGTCTATAATATCAGACTATTTTCAATCTTAAGTAACTTATTTCAAGAATGATAGGACTCTGCCCCAAATCTTAATATGGTAAAATACTATAATACAAATTACAATTACAATGTAATTTGTCCCACATTATGAAAAATGAATGGACTAACTGAAAAGGAATAACATATGGACTAAGATTTAGTTACCTTTAATGTACCAAATGACTCACATGAAAGGTTACTTGTATTCCTAAATCAGCCTAATGTCTCATCTATTTTTTCTCAGAAAACTTAAATGTAGAACTTAAATTTCTGGATCAAAATAAACAAAAAACATATGGTGTATCAATGGAGGTTCATCATTTCAAACACACGTACCAGGGTGGGGGATACTGATAATAAGAGGTTTTGCATGTGTGGGTACAGAAGGTATATATGGAAAATCTCTGTACCTTCTGCTCATTTGACTGTGAACCTAAAGCTCCTTTAGAAAATAAAGTCTATTCAACACACATACACATACATGCATGTGCATCCCCTTCCCCCAAATCCTCTTCTTTCTGTCCATGGGATCACTGGCCTCTGTGGTAAATGAAGTTCAGCCATACTTTGAGAAGTCAGGCGCTGAATGTGGATCTAATCAACTGACTTTATAAGGAATACACATGTACTCACTACCAACTCAGGTTTAATTCTCTCTCTCGGGTTTTACAGTAAACCTAGGAGCATATAAAATCACTCATGAATGTTGGGTGGGTCACCTTATCTCTATGTCAGGCGAATCAATTACAGCTGATTTGAGAAAATGGCTAATGATCAGCCAGTGGGCCATAAAGGAGTAGCAAGTTAAAAAGGTAATTAGAACAGAAGGGAGAAGCATTTGAAATCGAGCTTCACAGAAGGTTTTAACTAGTAACAAAAAGTCCTTTCGATAGCATCATTAAACCTAAGGAGGTAACAAAAAAAATAAAGATGGGATAAGGAAATGGAAGGCTTGCATACTTAACAGTATCCTCTCCCACTTAGGTAAGGAACCTGCTGCGCCTGAGATCCTATTACCAAGGAAAGGGTCACTGAAAGGCGATAACAAGAGAAAGGGCTCATGTCTGACTGCCAATGTTAGCATAAAGGAGAGCCATTTTGCCAAGAACAATACAGCCTGTGGAACTCACCAGAGAAGTGCCCTAATAACAACCAGTTTGTGACCTAGTTTAATAATACTAAAATATTTAGGGGAAAATCATAACATTCAAAATGATATACTTGGTTTATGAATGTAGGCATTCTCTTCTAAACAGAAGCAATAAGGAATCACATGCTATAAAGCATTAATCCTATAAACATTTTAGGTATGGACCCTAGTGATCAAAGCAGGGATTAAAAACAATAACTACAGTAGTCCCTCCTTAGGTGTGTGTTCAGTTACCCATGGTCAACTGCAGTCCAAAAATATTAAATGGAAAATTCCAGAAATAAACAATTCATAAACTTCAAAGGGGACACTGAGTAGCGTGATGAAATCTCTCATTGTCCCATTCGTCCTGCATGGGACATGAATCATCCTTTGTCCAGCATTTCTACATTGTATATGCTACCAGCCCATTAGTCCAATAGTAGCTGTCTTGGTTATTAGACTGAAAAGCATCGTACCATTTAGAGCTCCAAACCATCCCAGGTTTCAGGCATCCACTGGGGATCTTGGATGTATCCTCCACAGATAAGGAGGGACTACTGTATATTAATTCCAATGAGCAACAGTAACCACAAAAGCTGAGCCTTATTTCTCAGTGGCATGCTGTTCCTTTCTTCTTTTTCTTAATCATGATTTTAAAACATGGCAGAGAACTGAGCATGGTAGCTCATGCCTGTAATCCCAGCACTTTGGGAAGCTGAGGCAGGCAGATCAGAAAGTCAGGAGTTCGAAACCAGCCTGACCAACATAGCAAAACCGTGTCTCTACTACAAATACAAAAAATTAGCCGGGCCTGGTGGCAGGTGCCTGTAATTCCAGCTACTTGGGAGGCTGAGGCAGGAGAATCGTTTGAACCTTGGAGGTGGAGGTTGCAGTGAGCTGAGATCACGCCACTGCTCTCCAGCCTGGGCAACAAGGGTGAAACTGTCTCAAAAGCAAAACAAAACAGCAACAAAAAAAAAACATGGCAGAGATTTTTTTTTTTTTTTAATGTTAAGATTTTTAACACTAGAAAATCTGGTTTCAAACTCTGATTCTATTGCCTAACTAGTGCTTTTAGCTAAGATATTTAAACTTGCTGGTCTCAAGTTCTTCATCTCTAAAGCAGGGACAATGAGGCTTTTCCTCTCCATACTTCATAGACAAGGGTGTGAAACTATCTTGTAAAAATGTAAAAGGTATAAAATGGGTATAGAATTGACAGCATTGAGACACCTGTAGATTGTCACCAACAAAATAAAACACAATCGTCACTTAGTGGACAATTCATTTAATGTTCATACTGAGAGGATAGTTCTTCTTCTTGATTACACCTGAGTAATTAGTTGAAGAGTGACAGATTAATTACATTTAAAAAAAAATGGTTTCCAGACTATTGGGTACAAGATTATTCTAGGGGAACTGCTAGCAATTTTCCTTATGAAGCAAAAACTACAAGTAGAACATTTATTTTTTCAGCCAAAATACATACCTTTTTCTCTTTTCAGACCTGCATTATTTGCAAACCATGACCTGGATGTTCCGAAGACAGCAGCCACACAAAATTCTCCGCCCATCGATTTGCTGGGTGAAATTTGTGGAGGAGGTTTAACTTTGCTTAAAAAATAAAATAACAGTAAAAAACAATTAACATGATGAAATGACAGTCTGTTAGGTAATGACAGATTTTCCTTTAAATTCCACCTCATTCAAGTCCTCCAATATGAACATGCATTTTGCCTTAAGTAATAAATGATGATGTGAGACTATGTTCTGGAGTAAAAGTCAAATTAGTTCAAAGTTCCAGAGTTTTGTAAAGAGAGCAACACTTATAAGACCAATAAAAATCAACTCCTTTTTGAAGTATGTGCTGGCAAAATCCAAGTCAGTTCTTTTCAGATGGATAACTTTTCTCTAGAAATTTCAAAGTGAAGCAATAGTACCAGCATATACATCTCAAAATAATAAAATGGTTTAGCACGTCATTTTTATATATATTAGGTTGGTGCAAAAGTAATTGTGGGTTTTGCCACTACTCTCAATAGCAAAAAAACGGCAATTACTTTTGCACCAATCTCTAAGACGTGGGATTAACAGTACAAATGAATGGAGATGGCATGGATGAAAATGAGGTGACATAGAATGAAGCCTTGAAAACGCTTTCTCAGCCACAATGCCATGGAGAGGTAGACGGTGTAAGGGGAGCATAGCTAATCATCTAATGCAATAATATTCGCTGACATTCCACCTGTTGTCTCTTTTTCTTCTTAAATTTGTGAAAATGATGTGTCTATTTTTGTTCAGTGAAAAAGACCAAGATGGAGTTACATATCAATAGCCTCTCAAACCTAAATCTTTTTTGTTGCTCATATGTCTGAAGGCACATTTAGTAACTGCCATTACTTCCTGTCACTGCCATTAAAAAGAAGTTGCTCTCCCCTGTTTCCCACAAATAAGTTTTCATACTTGGCTTCTAATATTAATCTCATGGCTTCTTTTCAATCCCATATTTCTGTTCTCTTTTGGTTTATCAAGAGCTTCCCAAAGCAATTTTGTCAACCCCCTTTGATAAATTACTTTCTCTAATTCATAGACCAGTAGCCTCATCATGCACTGGTCAAGATCACAGCCCAGGTAGGAAACAGTAAAAACTAGAGCTCTGATGTTACCCTCTGCTAAGTCAGTCTCCAGTGTCAAACATTATTTCTACCTTATTTTGCTCAATTTTTGTTATCCCTTCATCTTTTAATAAAATATGTTGGGATGGAAAGATAGTTTTAGAGTCAGGAAGAAACATGTAGTTGAATCCCAGTGCTGTCACCTCTTAGCTGTGTGACATTTGGTTAAGTTATTTAACCTCTCAGAGCTCAGACTACTCATGTGTAAAATAGAAATAGTAATGTCTACTTCATAGGATTATTTTAATGATTATATTGTCTCAAAGCACTGTCCCCAGCTCATATAGTACCACCTGAGAACTTCTTAGGAGTGCAAGCAAATACTCATAGGCCCCATCCCAGATCTACTAAATCATAAACTCTGGGAATGGAGCCCAACAATCTGTGTTTTGAAACAAATCCTCCAGATGATTCTGACGCATGCTCAAATCTGAGAACCACTATATTAGACAAAGAAGGTAAAGTTCCCATGGCAGTACTTTCCCATATCACGGTACTCAGCAAATACTAACTCTTCTATATGGCCCTCAGCCCTAACCTAATCTTCAAAAAATTCAGACTTTGCTTTGGTAATCTCAGTTTCCCAGTTCCTATGACACTTTTAATAGTCTCTCAGACATCTTATTTCCTGAGGTTTGTCTTAACATCTTCCTCTAAGGAAAACTACATCTGGATCAGAGACAACTATGATTGGTCCCTTTGGTCTCCCTCTTTGAACAAAATCCATGGTAATGCCTATTACTACATATGAAAAAAACCTCTTCTACCATTAACATTTCTTAAAACACTTCTCATGATTCCCACAACAAAAAACTTCCATGCCTAAAATGTCAACCAGTCATAGTGAGACTTCCAGTGACAGGAATAAAGACGTTGTTTTAAATAAAAAGCTTCTGAGGGGAAATGAATCTGGTTCTGTAAACTGTTTCACCCCTTCATACTTGCATCTGGCACCACTGCAGTAACCTACTTCTAGAAAGGAAGACTCTCCTATGCCCTATACCTGAACAAACATGCACCTTCCCGTGATATCTGGGTCACTGGCATCAGAATTGTTCTTTCTGGTCATGATGCTTTGTTGCATTACCTGAGAATATAAGGTTACTTTGAAAGCTTTTATTTCCATCCCTGAACTACTATCGCTGAACTAACAAATTCCTCTAACTGGTATTTTTGAGGCACCACTAGTCATTTTTAACCCTTAGAAGTTTGGGGAGGATGGGGTCTGGCGGAATGGCAGAGATAAAAGTGTTGTAGAGTTTCTTGAAAGCAGTTTGCAATTATGCGACTATATGCTTTTACTAGAATCACCATCAGAGAACAAAGCTACTATAATGTACCAACAAGCTTCATTGGGACAAACTCAAAGCTCTTTGCAAATTACTGGATGTCACTGTTGTTATTTTTAAATCATGTGGTAAGTAACAAGTGAGTATGGCACTTCTTAAGAGAAAATAATGGTCTCTCTAAAGTAACCATCCTAAACATACTTAAAAATGGTTGCTTTGGGGGCAGATGGCCAACTTTCTAACATGATAAAAAGCAGAAAACTTAGAGGACATCAATTTAGTTTTCTGACATGCAAAAAATATTCTTGTATGTTTATTAGCTTGCAGTCTAATCAGCACATGTCAAAAGCTAAAATTTCTTATACCTCTACAAGTTACATACAATTTTGTTTTGGAACACACAAGTTAAAAGCATCAACACGGTGTTATTTTATATAAGGTCACTATCTCCTACAAGGAATAAGTATTTCATCATATAACTATGCTTCATTTCCATAAAGAATTATCATTTTTATTTTTGTATTTCATCATTTCTTTTTTCCTCTGATAGGGCCTTAAATTCCATCAGTAAAAGTCTGTGTTTATTAAGGAGTCAAGGGTTTTCAGCCTGAAAATAACTCGCTACCTGCTACATAACATAGTGTTGTGTGTTGAATATGGAGAATACTGGGTAAATACATTCGTATCAAGTTATTTCTATCATCAATCTATAATGTGGAATGACTGTGGTATTTCAGAAAAATGGAAACATAAAAATATGTGTGTGTCTTTAAGATTTGCAGAGGAATAAAAAGGAAAAACAATCTAATAAAAATGTTATGAATAAAATATCTTCTATGGGGATACATTCAAAGTTAGAAATTTTAACTTGGGCTCAATCTGCCCTTCATCCTAAGTTTTTAAAGGTTCAAGAAAGCTTGGCAGAAGCAGAAGGGCTTTCCTATCAATGTGTGTCAGTGACATACCATGTATGAACTTTTCCACAATGACCTAGAATATTTCTATCACAAAATAACCTTATGCTGAAAGATAAAACATTGAAAAATGACACATATTTGAATGTATTAGAAAAATGCTAGCTTTGTGTATTATGTAAATTTACAGATTGGTGACCCAGTCCTCAGAGGAAAGCACTCCAATGCTAACCTTCTTTTTCTATCTTGTTCTCAACATCTCCCTTTCTACTCCTAAAGGGGTCTGAAAAAAATCTCATTACAGAACATTTGCAAGTTTAGAAAAAATTTCTCTGGGTGTTTGGATGCCTTCTTTCATTTATTTAATCATTTATAGAGCATGTTTGTTCGAAGCAGGTAAAGTTCCCATACAATGATATTAAAATAATATTTCAATTTATATTGGTGCCCAGAAGATTAACGATACTGATTATGTGGACTCATCCATTTTTTTAAACGGTTGTACAAGAGAACAAAACATACTCCTGATGGACTCCTTTCTACTGATAATTCCTGATCCTTTGCTACTCTTAGCTTCTTATAAATAACCCCATCTTCAATAGTTTTTTAAAAATTTGAGTTAACTTTTGAGCAAAACATAAAAGAAAAACGGAATAAATCCAACTTTCAGCATCTCAGAAGAAATTACAACCACAAAACATCATATTTACTGAGTCTGATACAAATCAGTGTAATCAAAAGAAAAACAAATGCCCAAGCAAAAAAAAGCCAAATAACCAAATTAACAAATAAGATGCTAAATTAAAAATCAGGATTTTAACTCTTTGTTATTTCTTTTGAGGAAATGCTTAACTGTCTAACCATAGAACGAGAATCATTTTCACTGCAATCACCAGAAGTTGTAGGGATATTAACATTACTAGGATTTTAAAAGTATTTACAAAGGCTACTGAAGTTCCCCATTTTTCTTCCCTTGGCCTTTATTATGTAATTCAGCCAGGTCAACATATTAAATTTTTCTTGCCTACTTTTTCTCTGCACTCAACTTCAAAGAGAAAAAAAAGAGTACAAAGCTCTAATGATATCTGCTTAAAAATTACAGGACGATGATCTTCACGTGAATAATTTTACTATTACAATAGGATAGATGTGGAGTATCTGTGGATGGCAGGATAAGCAGCAAGGTGCTCTGGTGCCTTGTGTGGAAGGACACAAGCATGGAAGGAGTTAATATGAGACAGAAGCACCATTTCCTTCCTTTCTTAAAACATAAAAGAACAGTCAATGCTTGAGTTTAAATGTAAGACCCAATATTGATGTAAGTGTTACAAGTGGTATAACAGCTTTCTATAAAAGAAGAAAAAATATTCTTTGTATTCTTTTAGAAGTTTTCTCTCATTCTCAATCTTAGTTTCTAAAATAAGATCTAAATGGGAAAACTGAAAGTATTTTATTTTAAATAACTAAAGATACTAATAATCTGTCAAAAATTATTCTATTCTGTCATAAATTTTTCTTAAAGGTCTAACAGATTTGTGTAAATGTGGCAACTAAAAATAAACTCTCCTCTCCATATAAATCTTTACCTTTCAAAAAATGAAACTGTAAAATTTTAAAATATTTAACAGAACAAGATTAGTTTATATGAATTCTTTATATCTTGATCAAAACTCTTAGAAAATCCTAATTAAAATTTTATAATATGCAAGTTTTAATTCTTTAAAACTTACCGTTATATAATACGAAGACATTTTACAAGGAAGAAATATACTCATATGGACTACCTATTGTCTATCTGTCATGTATATTTTTTGATAAGCAATTCAAAAATAACAGTAGCTTAAATACAATACTACATGCAAAGTAGGAGCTTGATAAATTCTTATTTGTAATATTGAAAGCAAAATTCAGATTCAAAAATTCACACTGGAATTATCTTAAATGTCTATGTTTAAACAGCATGTTACTTGCGGAATTCTTTTGTATTATTTTATATAGTCATCCAAACTCAAATACCCTAGTTAAACTAATCTAGAGGACATATGATACCAGGTAAGTCCAGAGTGACTAAAATGTTGAAGATGCACTTTTCACTTTCCAACACGCTTATTTTGTTACCAAAGGGAATGATTTTATTTTCTAACTGACTCATCCGAAAGTGCATGAATGTAAGGGACTAAACTTGTTTAATGGAGAACAAAGAATTAGTAGAAATTGTGATACACCAAAAGCAAATTCTTAGCTAAGTGTTAACGTTGCAACTTGAAACTAATAAAAAGTTTGTAGAAAATTTACATTTCATTTTAAGAGGAAAGGTAAAAATTTCATTTTTCATCCAAAATACATATTATCCTATAAATGGATATATTAAAAACATATTTATTTAGCATAATGTTTTATTTCAGAACAGTAAATAAAAAATTCTCAGGTTGAATGCTAAATAACATGGAAAAATAGCAAAAACTATTAAAACAAAGGAGCTCTTATAAACAACATGGAGGAAGTTGTCAAATTTATATTCATTTGCTGCCTTAATTTGAGGTTTCATTAAGATCTTAATGGAAAAAACATGCACCACTGGGAAAGTAACGTTTTAAAGGAGGACCTTTTAGTCTAGTATAAGTGACTAAAAACGAGTTTCTTGTGAGCTAACGATGGCATCAAACAAACCACAAAGCAGTCTTCTAAAAGACAGGCAATGATTTAAAAGTCTACTATATTTCATATATCCCTTTCTTTAATCTGGCTCTTTTAATCTTGTTTCAACCTCAAATCATTTCTGGTTGACAAGTGCTTTTGCTTAAATGTGAGGAGTACATACGTTGTTGGAGGAATGAACTTTTCTTATTTAACATACAATTATTATTCCATCTTTTACTTCTATGCAAAAACTTCAATCTTTATTAACATACTAAAACTCTTTGCTTTGTACTTAGAAGAATAATTTATCCTTAAATGAAATTTAATTTCTAAGCTTACTCTACAAAGAAATTTTGTCATATGTTGAATGTGGCTTTAAAATTCACCGATCACTGGAAAGCTCATAAGTAAGATCTATGTATCTTATTTGTTTTTAGAAGACATCTGGTTAACAAAATAAATAAAGATCAACTTTCATGAGATTTACATTTGTGTATGTTCTGAATTTGTTTAGAATAGTTTTACAAACTGTGTCTAATTATAATTTTCAAGGAGGAAAATTTTATCTTGATTTGTTTTATCTCACCTATTCTTTAGTGATAATAAAATTTTCAGATCTTTCTATGGCATATAAACATTGAAATTAGTTTGTGTCAAATAATAATTAACCTTAAAAAACTATTTAAGCTTCTTTTTGTCTAATAGAAAAATGTTGGAATGGTTTTTCTAGTGTAATAGAACACTATGAACAATTCCCAGTTAGCAGTTATGAGAACTACACATATAGGTGCAGAACTCTTTTCAAGTATTCTGACTAAATTAATAAAATTAATATACCTTACATTTCTCAAAACTTCCCGTTGGCCAACATATCCTTAAAAGTTAAAAACATAATCTAATTTAAAGAAGCTTCTTTTGAAACATGGTATTTACCCCTGAAACTGGAAAAGAAACAGTGGTAGCAGCTAACAGTGACTGCACATTTACTATGTGCCAGGCACTGTTATATACTAACATGTACAGAGATATGTATCAGTTTATTTAATTCTCATAGTGAACCTATGAGGTAGGTACTTTTAATACATAAGGAAATAAGAAACAGAAATGTTTTAGAAAACTCCCCCATATCATACAGCTAGTAAGTGTGTGAATTGGGATCTATAACCCAGGCAGTCTAACTCTTAACCAATAAACATTTTATATCATTCTTAACACATTCTATTTCCCATCTTTACATGAAAGTATTAAATATATTATATTTGTTTTCTATGACCTTCATGCCTAAGACTAACAAAGCTGTATTCTATACACTGATATGGAAGAAATTACTAAATAATTAAGCTATGATGTGTATGTGTTAATAATTCAAAATAATTATTTAGGAGGTTTTATGTAAAGTATTATTTTGTCATTATGTAGCCTCTTAAATACCTATTCAAAACAAAACTTTTGTCTCTTTAGGATCAAGTAAAATGCAACAAAAACTTTATAAGGCTCTTTTGGCATACCTTAAATATATTTATATTTCAAAATAAATCATGTCCTCAAATGCTATGCATGATATGTAGAGAACTTCTAACACTATAATACTCAAAGCTTTAAACTTGGGTGTTAGCCTTGTCTTATTTATAAGCATTATGAGAGAATTCTTCTATTTAAAAAAAATTCCTCTGTGATTTTTTTTTTTTTTTTTTTTTTTTTTTTTTTAAAGAATAAAATGAAACCAAGAAAACTGCTTTTCTAAAGCTTAAATATCAACATTGATGTTCCGTCTACAAATTATTCAGTAACTTGGTGCATCTAACTGTGATCAGGCCATGCAACTGGAAACAAAACTACAAAATGAATCACTTTTTGAGAGTACAGCAAATGAATGAGGCATGCGGGAGTGAACTGGAACTCACCATGGAGCTTTTATGGAAAAACACCCCGCTCCAAAGAGATATGGCCTTCATGGAAAAGGGGGGAAAATGCACAAAAAATTAGAGAAAAACTCATTTAACATTAGCAAATACATGTATATCATACTGTTATAGAGTATGGATAAAAAGAACTAAAAAATTAGTAATCACTTACAATTCTGCTGTACATACTGTCTGATAATAACCAATGAACAGAATGATGTGTAATAACAAGGCCCTTAATTTTGAGAGTTAGGGATTCAAAATTTTTTATTTTTCTCCCTTTTCTGGAGCACCCCTGTAATATTTCTAATCTAAAATAAAATAAAATTCACTGCTGAAGCCCTTTAAAACAAAGTATAAGTTAAATGGAATAACCAGATGAAGAAGAGTAAGATCAATAGCAACTGAGGTGTGGCTGTGTGACACAAAATGGTTAAAATCAGTTAACAGTGACTGGATAAAAAATTTGATTTGACACTCTTGGCTTTTCATTGGTTCCAGTCTCAGAATCACAGAAAGAGGCACATATTTGTCACGCTGCTTATTTGTCATAAGTTGAACTGTATATTGTCAGTCAATGGAAAAAACACTAAGTACAACTAGTGTAACTTTTCTCTATTTTTGGTCAAAATCCAGGAAATTAGGAGGTCTCTTAACAGTAATATAAGAAGTTAGCTTCCTTTACCTGGTCTGCACTAGGTTAGGTTAGTACAAGCAACAATCACTTGTTTTAAATACAACTGGGGATACAAAGTAAGACTTTAATGTTATACATATTTCTTCTGAAAATTCTGTTCCCAGCATTTAAGATATGCCTTACATATCTGCACATATCAGAGTGATTTAATGATATCCAAACCAAATGGTACTGTAACATCTGACATTTGGAAGTCATAACAAATGGAGGAGAAAAGCACATTGGTAAAACGTGGGTATTTCCTTCTTCAAAATTGGTTCTAAAAAAAAAAAAAAAAAAAAAAAAAAAAAAAAAAAAAAAAAAAAAAAACCTGTTGATTAGCATTAATTTCCCAGTAAATTGAGAATATTTGACCACAAAGCAAAACTTGAGAAAAATGCTTTCATGACACTGAGTACAGTTTTGAGGCTTGAAGTGCATTATACACAAAGAAAGGAACAGAGACATATAAGAGATAACTAGAAGAAAGTGAAGTAGAAGGAAAAGTGGGATAGAGAAAAAATAAAACCAAATTGTACAGATGATGTCAATGCCAAGAAAAGACAGCTCTCTCACAGTTACTCATAAGAACATACTCAGTGATATGATGTCAGCATCCACATTTAAAATGGTAGACTTTAAACTTTTTTGACTGGGAACCCTTAGAAATACATTTTAAGGCTTAAGCTTGTATGTGCATGAATACAGTCAAAGAAGACTGAAACAACTTAGTGAATGTGTTTTTATTTGTAATAAACTTTACTATTTTTCATTTCAATGTTTCATAAATATTAATGTTGGGATTATGTTACAATGCAGATAAATTCATATTCTAACACTGTGGGTCTGGCTGGGATCTGAGATTCTGTATTTCCAATAAGCTCCTAGGTAACAGCAATGCTGCTGGTCTGCAGGACCAGTGACAGAATTGCATTTTTTTCTATTCTACTTCATTAAAGAAAAAAAATGTTGGCCATAATATCTTTATATGATTTCATGACTAATTACCTCAAAACCTAAATGTTACTAGAGCTCAGCTTGCAGTTTGAAAAACACAGATTTAAATAACTAAGACTGGCGGGCGCAGTGGCTCATGCCTGTAAGCCCAGCACTTTGGGAGGCCAAGGTGGGCAGATCACTAGGTCAAGAGATGGAGACCATCCTAGCTAACATGGTAAAACCCCAACATGGTAAAAGTAGCTGGAGAGGTGGAGTTTGCCTGTAATCCCAGCTACTCGGGAGGCTCAGGCAGGAGAATCCTGCCTGGGCCTGGGAGGTAGAGGTTGCAGGGAGCTGAGATTGTGCCACTACACTCCAGCCTGGCAAAAGAGGGAGACTGCCTCAAAAATAAATAAATAAATAAATAAATAAATAAATAAATAAATAAATAAAATTAACTAAGACTACTTGAAGAGAACAATCTCTCAGCAGAATACTGAGCCCGTTCTGAAATGACAGGAAAATGAATGGTTCAAGCCATTTCTATCTGCCTACAAATGCCTCTAAAAGAGGTTTTTGTTGTCACACAGTACACACTTCTCTTAATTTTATCTCAGTAGGCAGGACACCTGAAATAACCAAGTTGTCCAAATGATTCTGACAGAAGTGACTGTAATCTGGAATGTCCAGGCTTAAGTTGCTCTTTAGTGTATATTGTATCTACTTGGGGTAGTCTCCCATCTCATCCAGAACATCAGCATACTGATTTATTATAAGGAATTTAGAAGTTTAACTTAGTCCTTTATTACTCAAAAGGTTTCTCCATTGACTGCAAAAACCAACAAGCAAAAATGAAACAAAACCTTCAAGTTTCTAAAAATTCAAAAGACCATCTGATACTCCCTATCTATAGAGCCAGTAAATACCTTTTTTCCAGGTTTAGGTTTCCTGATATGTGAAAAGGAAACATACATTAGCCAAATAAATGATACAGAAACTTAAAAAAAAAAAAAAAAAAAAAAAAAAA